ATCTGAATGAAACAAATGAAACAAATGCATTCGGTATTTTCGTTATAACTTTTCAGATTCCTTGCTATTCATTTCTATGTCCATTAGGAAATTTGGCTACATTCGAATCTCCAAAAAAAACGAATCAAGACAAAACGAATCACACATGTCTACATGTCAATCATCCAATAAAATCGAGACAGTTCCGGCATACACCTGGTGTCTGATCTCCTATACTGCCATATGTGCTTTTGAACTGGACAGGTAGCTATAACTGTAGCTCCAAAGAATCCCACAACAGCCTATATACAATAAAGGATTGGAACTCTGAACCGGGCGCTAGATTTGCGTTATTCGAAGTGTGAATGAACTAAATATTTTTTTGAACCAGCGTTTCCCTTTTTGGAAAAGGCAGAGCAATGGGGTTGAGCAGATACACATTTTACTCATTCATCAAGACAAACAGGGGGGTGGGTCTTCCCAATGGGGACATTGGCCACAATAAAAACCTGGTAGAAGGTCTAAGTCTTCCACATTCTATCCAAAACTAAGAAAAAAAAAAGTTTTGCCTTTACGTAGACATCACCTTTTTTTAACTCGTTAGAGCGTCAGAAAACTTGGAGTTCTGAGGGTTCATTATTTATCACAAATGACTTTGTAAACCATGATTGACTCCCTGATTTTTCCCTTTGTTAAGTGAATATGCCAAGCAGGGGCCGACTGACCATTCGAGCACTTGGGCATTGCCCGAGGGCCCGGGGTCAGTAGGGGGCCCCATGAAATGCCCCTGGTACCTTTTATAGGCTTTTTTGGGTGTGCTTCGAGTGTGGGCAAGGACACAGGGGCCCCATGATCCCCTATTGCCTGGGGGCCCTATGAGTTGTCAGTCCGCCCCTGATGCCAAGTATGGTATACTTTTGGCAGTGGGAGCCCAGAGCAGTAGTTCTAGTCTATGTTCACATGGTTAGTGGACACCAGGGGCGGACTGACCATTTGGAAACTCGGGCACTGCCCGAAGGCCTGGGGTCACTAGGGGGCCCCATGACATGCCCCTGGTACCTTTTTCATAGGCTTTTTTGAGTTTGGGCAAGGACACAGGGGCCCCATGATCCCTTATTGCCCGGGAGCCCCATGAGTTGTCATTCCACCCCTGGTGGACACATAAGCTCCTGGAGTGAATGGCTGTGGTCAACTCAACCATTGCTTCCAACGTTGGGTCAGCATGGCACCATGCTATGCCCACTGGCCCGTTCGGATACCCCTTCATGACAACAGCATCACCCACTAAATGCCAAAAGATCAATATTATATTAAAGATAATGTATAGCACAAGAAAACATAAGCCTGCATGTTATATTATCAAGATCATGCTATGAATATGGTAGATGGCTTCTCATTAAAGGAAAAATATTCATCCTTCCAAGTAAACCAGACCCAGATTTGAACATAGAAATACTAAGTGCTTGCAGGTGCCTACAAGGTATACTGTACAGTGTTTTGGTGCTTCACATAATTACAACATATCATTCATATATTTTTTTTTCAAAAAAAAAGAAGGAAGGAAGAAAAAAATTAAAGAAAATAAGAAAGAAAAGATAAGGACTATCGATATGTTGTGTCGTGTCCATCACAGCTGAAACGTATGGGCATTCCATGTGAATGAACAAACCAAAGAGCCACCAATTGGTGGTAGGAACATGGTAGGACAACTGAGACGTGACACCAGGCCAACAAAAAAACATTTTGGATCAAAAGAAGAGTGTTTGCCACAGGAAGTTATATTGTGGCAGGAGAGGTGGGATTAGACACCCAAGGCTCCATACACTGCATGGTCGGCTGACTGCTTCATCAGGAACGGAGAACTCTCACCCTTTCAGGCTCAGTGGTCAGGGGTTCTTGACAGGAGGTAAAACACCTGTAAAGCTCTTCCTCCTTAGAATGAATGTAAACTAAAGCTGTTCATAAACTATTCTAATTTTGGGTGATTTCTGCTAGATTGGATGAAATTAAAGCTGTGATAGTCTTGCTGGCAACACGGAAGTTGAGTGAAAAATTGAGGGAACTAGGTGGAATATTGCCAAGACTGCATCCTACCAGATGCACTGTTCAGGTATTCAGACAATCATTTTAGAACAGTTTCAAGAGAACCATTTTGGTGAAGACCAAGTACCAATATGGTTCCCTTGAGGGTGTGCTTAAGGTGGCCTCTCAATCAATATTGTGCTTTCAAACATTAATGAACCAATACTATATGTCCAGTGGCGGACTGACAACTCATGGGGCCCCCGGGCAATAGGGGATCATGAGCCCCTGTGTCCTTGCCCAAACTCAAAAAAGCCTATGAAAAAGGTACCAGGGGCATCTCATGGGGTCCCCTACTGACCCCGGGCCCTTGGGCAGTGCCCGAGTTTCCAAATGGTCAGTCCGCCCCTGCTATTGTCTGTGTTTCCATTAACATTTTTACTGTAGAATATACATCAATCTAAAGCTGACATAATATAGGGTGGTATCAAAAAATTTTGAGACCGGTTTTTATAACATGCCAACAGATGGCAGCACAAGACTGTACACACAGTCACAGGGAGCACCAACCTTCATAAGTAAGTGTGCCAAAAGACATTGTCCTGTGTACACCGGAAGCTGTGCAACTGGTGCTATTCTGACCAGGGGCGGAATGACAACTCATGGGACCCCCGGGCAATAGGGGATCATGGGACCCCTGTGTCGTTGCCCAAACTCAAAAAAGCCTATGAAAAAGGTACCAGGGGCATCTCATGGGGCCCCCTACTGACCCCGGGCTCTCAGGCAGTGCCTGAGTTTCCAAATGGTCAGTCCGCCCCTGATTCTGACCACATACGTTACCACACCTACTGTTTCATCATGGACAGCAAGTTAGAACAAAGTGCAAACGTGAAATTCTGCGTGAAACTGGGAAAATCTGCCACACAGATGTTTGACATGATTCGTCAAGTTTGCGGCGATGCTGCAATGAATCGTTCGAGGTGTTTTGAGTGGCATGCTCACTTCAAGAGCGGAACAACATCATTGAGAGATCAGGAAGACCTTCAACGAGCTCAGCCCTCAAAAATGTCAAAAACATTCAGCAACTTGTGCACGGTGATTGTCAGAGAACAATCCACAACATTGGGTGTACGGGTTTCATGCAGAATTTCACATTTGCTCTTTGTTCTAACTTGCTGTTCATGATGAAATAGCAGACGTGGTAACGCACGTAGTCAGAATAGCACCAGTTGCGCAGCTCCCAATGTACATAGGACAATGTCTTTTGGCATACTAATTTATGAAGGTTGGTGCTCCCTGTGACTGTGCGAGCAGCAACCTTGTGCTGTCATCTGTTGCATGTTACAAAACTATTCTCGAACCTTTTTGATACCACTTTGTATATTATTGTCAACAGAAGAATTAAAAAGTTTTTTTTTTTTTAAGCAGTATCATTTTTATTTTAAATATGCCTTAATACAGGGCTTGAAAAAGCTGCTCGACCGCTCGCCAAATGCGAGGAGAAATTCTCTAGCGGCGTGCACAGATGATGGAGCGACTGCGCTCCAAGCCTCATTGTGAAGCCGAGTTCTGGTTTCCAACTTCCGGTTTCCGGCTTCTTCAGCAGGGGACAGGTGCAGGAGAGGTCTGCTCTCCTCCGCTGAGAGGAGACACCCTTTCCACCACCGCGGGGAACTCGAGGAGTAAGTACTGTATACATGTCCTATCACTATAATGGAGTACAGGGGAGGGGGGGGGATATACATTACTGTGTACATGTCCTATCACTATAATGGAGTACAGGGGAGGGGGATATACATTACTGTATACATGTCCTATCACTATAATGGAGTACAGGGGAGGGGGATATACATTACTGTATACATGTCCTATCACTATAATGGAGTACAGGGGAGGGGGGATATACATTACTGTGTACATGTCCTATCACTATAATGGAGTACAGGGGGGGGATATACATTACTGTATACATGACCTATCACTATAATGGAGTACAGGGGAGGGGGATATACATTACTGTATACATGTCCTATCACTATAATGGAGTACAGGGGAGGGGGGATATACATTACTGTATACATGTCCTATCACTATAATGGAGTACAGGGGAGGGGGGATATACATTACTGTGTACATGTCCTATCACTATAATGGAGTACAGGGGAGGGGGATATACATTACTGTATACATGACCTATCACTATAATGGAGTACAGGGGAGGGGGATATACATTACTGTGTACAGTTTTATATTTTGGACTCTTTATTCTAAAGAAAAATTTAATTTCATAAACTTTAAGGGGGCGTGGTTTGGGGGCAGGGCTGGGGGCGGGGTTGGGGGACGGGCCGGGGTAGGGTTGGAGGCAGACCTGGGAAAGGTTGGGTGGGGCAACTGGTGGAGAGTAAGGTTTGTGCCTGGCTAGTAGGTCTAGACTCGAAATGTTAAGCCCTGCCTTAATAGTTTTATGCTAACCAATCTATTTTATAGAACAAGCTGATATCACAACTTTCAATAATATTTTTACGGAAGTGGGCAAAATGTAAAAAATATGAAGGCGAGATTGGGTGCTGGACGGCGGAAAAAGAACAATGGTTACATAAACTGTTGGGAGCAGGACTCATGATGACCTTTTTTTTCTAATTAGAGCAGTGGTTCCCAACCTTCCTAATGCCGTGACCCTTTAATACAGTTCCTCATGTTGTGGTGACACCCAACCATAAAATTATTTACCCAGTAATTATAATTCATGAGTGTTGTTTTACCTCCAATACTGCTGCTTTCAACACAGTAGCTGCTTTTAACAGAGTAGCCGCTTTCAACACAGCAGCTGCTTTCTACACAGTAGCTGGATCTTTACACATCGGAAATATATGTTTTCTGATGGTCTTAGGGGACCCCTGTGAAAGGGTCATTCCACCCCCAAAGGGGTCACGACCCACAGGTTGAGAACCACGGAATTAGAGTATCCTTTGATAAGAAATGAATTGAAGAAGATTTTCTTACCTGTCTAACCGTAGCTGGCAGGTGGTCCGCAGAATGTCCACCGTTCCCTCGTTCTTCAGCTGCTTACACAGGATTGTGGTAGCGATAAAACAGCCGGTTCTTCCAATCCCCGCACTGCAAGACACAACATACCCGTTAGTGGAAACTCGTCATGTTCCGGTTGGATTTGACTAGTTTAAGAGATGAAAGAGGCTAGAATGGAATTGTGTGTTGTTGCTGCAAAGATAAACCAGATTGTTGGGTTGAATGTATACAAAGCCATATATACTCAGAACCAACTTTATAGGATACACCTATATGGTGCCAGGTAGGACCTCATTTTGGCCTAAATTGTTCTAGAGATGGACCAAACAAGGTGCTTAGGTACAGAACTAGTATTACCTAAGCAGTCTAGTTCCCCTAGATTTGTTGACCACACGTTCATGCTGCAGCTTCGTATTTTACCTCATTCACGGGGTTCCTGCTGTGTACACCAACTACTGACACTGACCTTTTATTGACCAGATTTTGATCCTTTTATTGACCAGATTCTGACCCTTTTATCCACCAAATTGTGAACCTTCCATCTGCCAGATTTCAACTCTATCCTGTTTTGGTTGAACTGGATGGACTTTTGTCTTTTTTCAGCCTGACTAACTATGCAACTATGTATAAGCACTGCATTCTGACCCTGCACCCGCCAAACTCTGATCCTGCCAACTGCCAGATTTTGACCTTGTTAATTCATTAAATTTGGACCCAGTGATACCCCAGAATCTGATCCCACCATTTGCAAGACTCTGACCTGGTGAATCGGAAAAACTGGAACTGCCAGATTTCGATCCTACCAACCACCAAGTTCTGAACATGCTATCTGACAAATTCTGACCCTGCCATCTTCCAGATTCTTACCTCTGTATGGTGTATGTTACAGCAAATCAAGATTCATTAGATCAGTCTAAGGTTTTCCAGTCTTCAGTCAGTTCTAATGCTGGAGATTCTGTGCCAACTGGAGCTTCATTTCCTGAAGCCTAGCATGGTCTTCTACTGATACAGCTCATCTCTTTAGGGTTCCTCATAATGTGTAATCAGAGATGGCCTCCTGCACAGCGCTGCCATTCAGGACAAAGTGACTGTGTCTGTCAAAAGACTAGAACCCCTGCCCACTGATACTCAACGTTTTAGTGATACGCAACCACTCTTCTCTGTGACAAATACCTGGTATTTCTAGGTATGAGGGAAACACTTGACCTTCTCCCATGGGACAGATAGACCAAAGCTCTACATCGTGACAGAAGGGGTGATGGCCCTGCTTCCCCTCAACTCTGACACCATCCAACACTGGGTATTTTGGTGTTGTTTTAAAAAAGAAAGGAATGGCAGGAGTGCCATGGAGAGGTGGTTGGCGTGAGTTGGCTTTAAAGGGACACTTTTACTTTGTCTTGTATAGGCAAAGTGATAGTGCTTACTTAAACTGAAACCACAAGAGCTTGTGTCAACTGAGCTTTTTTATGTTCAAGAGAACCTTGCAGGACCCGGCTCAGAACCTGCAACCTCTGCTGTGCCTGGTGATGTCTCTTCTTGTTGAGAAACCTGGGCTGCTGGACAGCTCCCTGGATAATTCCTTGAATGATCCTGCCTTGCTTGTCTTGAACCCAGGACTGTGGATAAGTGGGTACCACCAGCCCTCCTGTATGGGGCCCAGGCCATCATGGGGGCTCAGGCAGTTGGGTGAATGAGATGTGGGCAGGGAGGGTGATCGGCACCATGAGGGAGGATTACTGGAACCGATCCCCTGTCTGGCTCTCTCTCTTCAGCAGCAAAGAGCTGGCTTTTTCTCCTCTCCCTCCCATTGGCTTTCAGCTGCTGCAGAGAGAGACATATAGGGGATCAGTTAAAGTAATATCCCCACCTCACCCATCACCCTCCCTGTGGATAATACATTTCCCCCCAGGGCCCCCTATGTACCCCCACTCACACAGTGCTGCCAGCTTTCCTCTTCTCCTTCCCACTGGCAGCTGCAAGCACACTATAGGATCCTTCAGGATGGAGAGTGGGGGAAGGGTCCAGTAAATATGTCACATTTACCAGTTCCTTCACTTCATGAATAAACACAATGAGTGATCGGTACTGACCGCTCACTGCGTTCATTTATAATAACTGAATCATGGTGTTTGTTTTGGGGGGGAGGCCTGTCAGGTTGGCTGTATGGGGCCCCGTGGTTTCTAACAGCAGCCCTGCTTGAACCATTTTGCTCCTCCCATGAACTTCCTATTAAAGCCATTCCTTTGCACTTCCTGTTTGCCAGAAGATCGTGCTCTCTCCAGTAAATATCCTGCTCTTGTCTCTCCTGTTGCCATCCATATCTTTGCTATTTCTTGTTACCGACCTTTGGTTTGTTCATCGACTTAGCTTCTGTCTGATCCCAACCTGCAAGCACTTGTTACTGACCTTTGGCTAGTTTACCGACTACGCTCCTGCTATATCTGCTACTGGACCCCGGCTTGCTCACCTTCTGATGGGGTGATCCTGAGGACTGCGACCTGGTACTGACACACAGCAAACCCATCTCCACTATCAGGAGCTCTGGTGAATACCGTTAGTTCATAGACTCCACACCATTGATGAGCCCTTCTCATTGGCCAGGGTGAGCTGCTTATATAATCTATGTCACGATCAGGGGTCAGGCTTGAAGACCAGTTGCTATAGAAGTGGAGAGGTTCACACTGAAACCAGCAGGATAGGTACACAGGCAGGTCACCGTGGCAGAAGAGTGGGTTCGCCTGAGGTACGGGGTCTAAGTACCAACCAGTGCTCACCAGAGCTCCTGATGGTGGAGATGGATTTTGCTGCATGTTAGCACCAGGTTGTGGTCCTCAGAATCACCCCACCAGGAGGTGAGCAAGCGGAGCAAGCGTATTAAGCAGGTAAGGATCAATCAGAAAAGTGGTCGGTAAACAAGCCAAGGTCGGTAAGGAGCAGTCGCAGGTTGGGATCAGGCAGAAGTGTAGTTGAGAACAAGCCAAGGTCGGTAAGGAGCAGTCGCAGGTTGGGATCAGGCAGAAGTGTAGTCGAGAACAAGCCAAGGTCGGTAAGGAGCAGTCGCAGGTTGGGATCAGGCAGAAGTGTAGTCGAGAACAAGCCAAGGTCGGTAAGGAAACAGTCACAGGTTGGGATCAGGCAGAAGTGTAGTAGTGGAGAACAAGCCAAGGTCGGTAAGGAGCGTCACAGGTTGGATCAGGCAGAAGAGTAGTCGAGAACAAGCCAAGGTCGGTAAGGAGCAGTCGCAGGTTGGGATCAGGCAGAAGCGTAGTCGAGAACATGCAAAGTCGGTAAGGAGCAGTCGCAGGTTGGGATCAGGCAGAAGCGTAGTCGGGAACAAGCCAAGGTCGGTAAGGAGCGGTCGCAGGTTGGGATCAGGCAGAAGCGTAGTCGGGAACAAGCCAAGGTCAGTAAGGAGCAGTCACAGGTTGGGATCAGGCAGAAGAGTAGTCGAGAACAAGCCAAGGTCGGTAAGGAGCAGTCGCAGGTTGGGATCAGGCAGAAGCGTAGTCGAGAACAAGCCAAGGTCGGTAAGGAGCAGTCACAGGTTGGGATCAGGCAGAAGAGTAGTCGAGAACAAGCCAAGGTCGGTAAGGAGCAGTCGCAGGTTGGGATCAGGCAGAAAAGTAGTCGAGAACAAGCTAAGGGTCAATAACGAATGGTAATAAAATATGGATAACAGCTGAGAAGGCAAAAAGCAAGATACTGGCTGGAGAGCACAATAATTTGGCAAACAGGAAGTGCAGAGACATGGCTTATATCAGGAAGTTCATGGGAGGAGCAAGGGGTTCAAGGTTCATGACAAACAAGGTCAAGGTAGGATCATTCAAATAATTGTCAAGGGAACTGTCCAGCATTCCAGGTGGCTCAGCAAGAAGAAACATTGCCACTCACCGCAGAAGGCCCAGGTTCAGACAACCTATCTTGCTGGTTGGTGGGAGTCTCTTTACTGCTATAGCCACTGGTGTCCAAGCTGACCCGACGGAGACAGAACCATATATTCTGATTTAAATTTGTTACATTGCGGTAGGACAAAAAACAAAGTGTGATTGATTGCAGTACCAATAATTCTGAACGTACCCAGTGCACAACGCACATGCATGTTAGCTTTCCACAGCGCAAAGTTATGAACCGTCTGATCAGTGAGGTACAATACATTGAACAAAATATTCCAAATGAAATCCTGCATTGTCAGTGGCATCCCTAGGGTTGGTGTCACCCAGTGCGGTAAAACTATGGTGTCACCCCTCCAGACTTCTCCATGGACCTCCTCCAAGTCCTCCTGTACCTGAGTCTACCAGACCATAATAATACCAACAATTGTCCAATCTCCAATCGAAAAGCATCCAAACAGCAAAAGCCCTTTTTTATTAAAAACTCATCGCTTAGATCCTACGAATTTCAATTCTGGTCACGAGCTTGTTCGAGGTCGAAGTTCTTCACTGAAGCTGATTGGCTCCAGGCCTCTGATGACATAATCACATGACTTGGGCATTTATGTTCCTTGCGATTTGTTGTCTGGACGTTAGATTCGATCACATGTGAAGTTCCTTCCTGTTCCTTAATCCCGCTTATTATTTGTTTAGTCTAATCAATATAGAATTTGGCGCCACCGCCTTGCAAAGCGCGTGGAGAGGTCCGGCCCAAATATAATTTCTGCTCTGTTGAAATTACATTTTTTTCATTTTGGTGTCACACCCCTATGATGGTGTGATAGGTGTCACCTTGTGCGGCCCGCACCCCCTAGCACCCACCTAGGGACACCACTGTGCATTGTGCTGCTTTGCGGACCTATTCAAATTCAATGGGCTGCCTTACCGCTTCGCATGTTAATGAATGTGCGCTAATGCACCACGACAGTCTGAATTCAGTCTAAAAGTGTGTGAAGGTAGAACAAAATTTACTGCCTGTTTGAACCAGGAATGGGAACATCTCCTTTACGTTTCCAGTGCAGAGAAATGATAAGATGATCTACAATTTAGTGGCGATTGGAGTGAAGCTTATTAGGGCATAATAATCTATAGAAAGTACAGAGCTCCAGCCGTAGATGGAGAACGCTTTTTAGGCTGCTTAGAACACAGATAGCCAAAGGC